TTAGATCAAAAGAGATGGAAAAAAGCCTCGAACTCACAGAAGAAGGTACTGAGATATTAAACTTGCTAAAACCAAAACAGAACAAAAGTTTCGCACAAGAAAAAAAGGCAAAAATCTTTGTGCTAGAACAATTATGTGATGAAACAGATAGCAAATTACTCATATAGAAACAGATTAAACAATGTAAACAATGTAAAGCTGCTGGTCAGGTGCCCAGATGGTTCAGAAACATTGAGGAGAAGGTTCTAGAAAATAAAGAGAACTATATAATCAAACCCGATTTCAAAACCAAAGCAATAAACACTCTTAGCCCAAAAGTTACATACTCAATAATAGATAGTGACAAAAGAAAGAAAGAGTAGATTTTGTTAAGAAACAGAAAAAATGAGTTGAAGATCAGGAAAATAAGTAAAAAGAAGGAGCACAAAATTTATATAATAGAGCATTGGAAGACAATTTCAAATCCAGATAACAGTATAGTTAGATTTAAGAAGTGCTTGAAGTGTGAACAGAATATGAATAAGAACACAACACTAGAAATATGTCTGTACAAGAAAAAGCTAAAAAGCAGATCAGTTGTGATAAACCCAAATCTAGTTCAAAAAGTAGATTTCCAAGTACATACGTGGGAGTTAGTAGTCCCCGCAAGCTGTCTAGTAGATACACACTTCAGATCAGAGGTGCTCGAAAGTGAAGATAGAGAGAGGCACAAGGTTCTAGTAAAAGAAATTCCTATCTACTCAATAGAAAAAGAAATAATCGATCAAGCTTTTGAAGGACAACAAATAAAAGAGGAGCTAAAACATTTAACAACACAACTCTTCTATATTGATGAGTCTTTATTGAATCCAACAGAGAGCCCAGAAAAAAGGAAAATAGGAATCAGATGGGTAGCTGTTACAGAAAATAGAGCCAAGAGAAGTAAAGAATATATAGCAGAATTTAAAGAAGCTATAAAAGATTGGCTGTTATCAACTAGAGCTGAACTAGGTGCAATATAATCAGCCTTACTAACTGAACCAAACAAGGCTATAGTAAACATTTACACAGATAGTGCAGCATCGATTCAGCAGTACAAGCAAGCCAAAATAAAACCAAGTCAAGCAATATAGTAAAAAGGAAGAATCTCTGCCTTTTAGAACAAATATTAAGAACAATTGAACTTAAAGAATTAAGAGTGTGGTTTAACAAAATCAAAGACATACCAGGGTACAAGGCAATGAAAAGGCTAACAAACTTGCAAAGGAGGAGTAAACAGTTTCTTACTTCTTGATCTGAAATAGCTCTGGAACAAGCGATCAATCACTAAGCTAAGATGGCAAGAGATCCAAGTAGATGATGCAATGAGAAGTTTCATTATACAGCTTATTGATCTAAGTATTGATACTAAATGGAAAGATTTAAAAAGTATAAACAAATGGGCTGAGACAACCTACAAAGAAAACAAAATAGACTGGAGAGAGGTTTGGAAAGATATAAGCAAAGTAAAGGGTAAAAAATGCACAAGCTCCCAAGCACACAAAGATTGGATTTTCAAAATCAAGTGTCTTAATAATCTACTTCCAACAATGCAAATTCTGAGACAGAGAAAAAAGATTTATACATAGACAACACTTGTAAGATTTGCTTCCGAGAATGCGAGATGCAAGATTACCTAGCCAAATGTACTGAGCTACAATTAACTTAGAACAAGCTTGAAGAAGAAGGCTGTTCAGCTATTGTTAACAAGGCAGAGAAAGAAAAAGCAAGCTTGAAGATATATGACAAGCAAAAAATAGCAGAAATAGTGTTTAGCAAAAGCCTTAAAGAAAAAATCTCAGCTAGAAAAGAACTAATAAAAGGCCTGGTAACAAAGCAAAGAGTTTAGAGGATTTGCTACTTGTTAGAAGAAGAAGTGGGAAAGACCTCCAAAATCCTGCAAACCTTCATTAACAGCTTCTCCAAACATTTTCGCAAGTTCATATAAAATCCTTGATGTGAAAAGGTCATACAATGGAAAAAGAAAGAAGATATAATAAAAAGAAAGAAAACAGAAAACATTAAAAAAGAAGGTTTGAAGAGGCAGAATAACAAGACAAAAAAAACAGAGACCTATCAGGCAGTACAAAAGAAAAAGAGACCAGAAGAACCAAGGTTAGCCGCAAAGAAGAAAAACTTGACACAGTCAAGGAAAGGGAAAGTTTAATTAGAGAATGAGTCGCATGGGGAACCAAACTGGCATAGTTCTTACTGGTTAAACTAAAAGGGTTTTTTTAAGTATGCTTGACATGGCAGACAACAGCCAATTAATGACCAAGGGGGGTATCTAAATCGGTACGAAATTCTTAGAAAGTTAAGAATCCTGAAGGAAATAAATTATTGTTTTGGCGGGTCGCACTGGGTAAATACTTGGTGAGTCTTTTTTAGATTAGAGCAATACACTATAAAGGCAATTTATACATGTATAATAGTCAAATAGTAGTTCAAATAAATAAAGACAAGACTGCTTAAAAAAAAAAAAAAAAATTTAATTAATAATTTTTTTTTTAATTCTAGCTAAATTTATATAGCTTATTAATAACTTACTAAAAATAGTAATGATTTATAGTAATTAAAAAAAGAGCTTATAATATAAATAATAATTATTACAATATAACTAATAATAATTTTTTTTTTTTATAACAAGCTTCTAAAATATTTTATATAAATAGATATTCTATAGAATAGGTGGGCAAACTCCACAAACTCTGCAACTCCGCTAAATAACTATTAATAATTACTAATCATTAGTGGAGTTTATTTTCTATATTGCCTATCTATTCTATAAAACATTCATATAATTAAACTTTTAATTTGTAAAATTTATTAATAAATTATAGTTATAATTGGCTTTAACATTGTACTAAATCAGTTAGTTTAAGTTTTTATTCTTAGCATTAGGTTTATACAATAAAATTTTTTCTGATTTTGTAAAAAATTTTAATTAAATTTAATAAAGATAAAAGCAAGGTCTCACCATTAACATTAAAAAACATTGTACTAAATCTAGTACAAAAAAAACTACAAAAAATACAAAGTTTAAAAAATTTTTTTTTACAATAATTTTATTATTAATATAGAAAAAAATATTATATTTACACAATTTATTCATTTTAGAAAGAAAATTATAAAGTAATTTTAAAAATAATACAAGAAATAGAAAGAAATTCTTCTCAAGAGGGATCCATTCAGGCAATTGAATATCTTCAGGAAGTTATTCGACCAACCCCTGCCCCCTAAAATGTAAAAAAGAGGATCATAAACACATATATTGTAGGTATCGGTGCATTATACGGTCTCGGTGGGTAAGTTAATAGCCTTTTAATATTGATAATAAAATTTATGCTCATTTTTTAAATTAAAAATTTTTGATGTATTAGTTATTTGATCAAAGGCAATAAAAATTATGGACACGAAACAGCATTTGGTAAATATTAAAGATAATTAACTAAACATCCAGTATATGATTGCTTATTTGTTATTTCGGCTTTTTTTTTAAAAAAAATTGCATCCACTATATTGGCCGGAAGCATTATTCCTCGTGCTATTAAGAACACCAAGCCCTTTCCCTTAGCGCTGAGTGTATTGTCAGTTTTTGTTGGCGCATATTATATTTTATGTGCTTTTTGGTGTTTGTCTACCTTTCTTTTGCAGCTATTTTTTTGATTATCGAACGTACCAGATAAATAATAGTACTGTAAAAATCACGTGTCAGGACACTATTAACGTAAAGTTACACTACCGTTTCGTAAATTTCAAATCGTAAATTGTTTAATTTATATCCAGAGTAAGGGCAATGATTTTTAAAAGCAGAACGAATTCACGGTTTTGTAGTCTTTTTGTGGAAATTAGATTTTAGATCTAAAGTTTGATCCGATCAAAATTGCATGATTATACTGTCATAAACTGGAATTTTTCGGAAAGATAGACATTCAAATGACATAAAATCAGGAAATCGAGTTGAAACACGGGATGTGCCAAAGATAACACGGAATTATCACGGAAAGTAGGAAATAATACGAAAAAAGTCACAGAACGGAAGGTATGGATATAGAGGAAATTTTCTCTATATATTTCCCGTAACGATGAGGACACGAAGTTATACAGTAGCCGGAGATCTACCAAGCTATTTCCCCGTAGTCTTCGTTTTGTATTATGTCATGATTGTGATTTAACGATTCATAATATACTTTAATTAGTGAAAACAAGTTTCCAAAAATGCTTATTCTTCAGCTTGCTGGGAAATAACATTTTCCCATGATAAAGTAGCGATTACAAGTCGTAAATCCCGTCGTGCGACCATATAGAAATGTAAAAAAGGTCTGGCGTAGAAAATAAATTAAAATTTTTAGTTGATATCCGAAATGATCCGAAAAATAAGTCTTTATGTCAGACGCAGTATTCTGTACGTATGTGGTAAAATCAAATTCTGCAATACCCGTTATATATTATAAATTTTACTAATTCGTACAATATATTGCCGCAGAAATAGACAAAGAAATAGAATCCTTTTTTGCGCAGCAATACAAGGTTTATTATGCAGAATTATTGCATAAATTAATAACCGCAGAACTTGACTTTAGTTGGGTATATAAAATTAGCCAATAATATTCACTACAAAGTTAATCTGGAGTAGTAACTCCCGGTACGTACGTACAAGCTATAAAGTCTAATCTGGAGTAGTGACAATTGTATATACACGTCATTCCGGATCGCACCATTAACAACCCTAAAAATCCTCGACTTAAAATTTACATATTACTAAAATCAAGAATTCTATGTGACATATTCCCTGACTGGTACGTACGTACGTAATTTATCCGATAGTAGATCAAGGTGATTTGTAAAATATTCCGGATCCTAATTGGGTGTTCCGTAAATAAAGTTTTACGCCTTTATTTATTAAAATAATCCGGAATATAAATTGAATACTCCGTAAAAAAATTTTTACACTTAGCTCTTTCAACTTTCATTCCTGAAAAATGCAATCTGAAAACAATTCTACTGCGGAATCTTCGAAAGCTCCTAAAAATTCTGATGATGAACTTGTTGAAGAGACAATTAATGATGAAACGATTGCGAAAATTGATCCTTCGTTTTGGGATGATTATGAGAAATTAGATCTCAATGAAGAACGGTTGAATCGTTACGCTAATGAGCTATCTTCTGAATCAACTTCTAAATTTACTTCCACTTCTACTAACGTTAATGGTAGAGAGGATGGATCTAGCAGATCCAAGAAAAGAAAAGTGGTTATAGATAGACGAGAAAGAGCTATATCTGATGCACTTGCTAATATTAATCGTTCGAAGGATGTTGACCTTTGTTATGTTTTAGACTGCACTAGTTTGTACCATCTAAATTTATTTGTCAAAATTTCCACTTTTTAGATTTCAACATTTACTTCTTAATTTTTATTTAGGCTCTATGTCGGGCCATATTGCTGCGGCTAAGGATTGTATTTTACAGGTGACGAAACATATTAAAGATATAAATCCAAGCATTAAAATTCGAGTTGGTTTTTGTGGTTATCGCGATCATTGCGACAGCTCTCGTATACAAGTTTTTGATTTTACAAACTCGTATGAAAAATTCAGAAAAAGTTTGACTAAAGTACCAGCCACTGGTGGTGGTGATCCACCGGAAGATGTTCTTGGAGGTCTTAATGCCGCTATAACTCAATTATCTTGGCATGATGGTACAAGGGTTCTTCTCCATGTTGGTGATTATCCACCTCATGGTCTTCGTTTTTCTAGTATGCAAGATAATTATCCAAATGGTGATCCATATGGTTTAACAGCAGAAAGTGTATTAGAAAAAATGCGTTCAGAAAGAATTCTTTACTTTTTTGGAAAAATTACGGGATATACTGATGAAATGATTCGAATATTCCGTAGTATTATTGGAGATTTTCCAGTATTTGATCTTGTAGGAGGAGATCCTATTCAATTAATTAACAAATTTATCAAAGCTACCACCGCATCTATTACAACATCTGTTTCATTAACTAGTACTATTGGATGTAGAACTAGTGATATATATTCTTTACGACGAAGACTTGATGTGAATCCTGATGTACCTAATTGGGACACTCTTCCGTTGCAAACAGGTGTAACTTTAAGTTATTATATTCCTAAGACACTAACTGCACTTAAAAATCAAAGATCCTTTAGAAAAGAACAACTCTTTTCTAGAAAATTTTGTTTCAAGATTGCACCACAACCATTTTCAGCAGGTATTGAAAAATATGCATATTATGCAATTAAGATCATTAATGATCATCCACCCAAACAAATGGTTATGAAACAATACTTTAAAAGTGCATCAGTAAATCCTTTCGAAAAATATCTTGAATCTGTTGAAATCTCATCAGTGACGAATTATCTTTCTAGAAGATTTAATACAATTGCGAAAAGAAAAGATATTTGTCCAGTAAATTTCCTCGGTGTAGATCTTGTACGTGTTGCTATGCCTGGTGGCACTCAATATTATACTGTAGAACCGGAACTTCAAGATGCAGAATTTAAGAGGTTTAATACAAATAGTGGAATAATTGTAGATTTTCAACCTACTCTTGAAGCATTTGCTCATTTTACGTATGAACATACCCGAGGATATTTAGTGGTTTGTGATCTTCAAGGCGTTGAAATGTCTGGGGAGTTCTTATTAACTGATCCGGCGATACACTGTATTGATAATTTAAGATTTGGACGAACAAATTTAGGTCGTGAAGGTATTGATAAATGCTTTTTAGCAAATCACGAGTGTAATGAGATTTGTAAGAAGTTAAGATTAAAAATTAGATCCAAATAAGCTTATTTTGAAGGTTAGGGGCTAATTGATAGGAATTATCACGGATAAACTTACTGTAATTAGCTTAATATTGGATACATCTTGACTTCGATTGTATAGCTTTACATATTCTTAAATTAGTTTTCTTATACAACTGACTCTTAATATAAGAAATCCTAGGTTCAACAAATCTTTTTTGTATCTAAATTTTTTTTTTTAAAGCTTTCTATTGCAAAATTTTTTGAAACTTGTAAAATCTTTTTTTATGTCAAAAAATTTCTTATATAAAAGGTTTCTTATATTGAGAGTCAGTTGTATATGATTTATCAAATGAAATAAAGTTTTTGCTTGATATTGTTTGTTTGTTAATATTATTGGTATTTATGTTATTTCTTTGAAAATCACTGTTACACGAAGATTTAATCCTCTCGATCATAATGTAGTAAATGCACGATTTATTTGTTAACAATTTCATAGTAATTTTTGCTATAACGATAAATTGAATCTATTTCTATTATAGAGAGCAATATGCACTGCTTTAGCACTGTATAAAATATCCCTTAAAAATAGTACTCCTTGATTAACACCCGGATATTATTCACCACCCATCTGGCTTAATTCTTGAATAATACCCGAGGGTAAAATTACATTAAATTTATTACTTTCATATGTTATATCCCCATATAGTACCCGGTTCCTCATACAGTACTCGTGGGTACTATTCAATTTAAAGAATGTTCTTGAATAAGACCCCGGGTACTGTATGAAGTTCTAAATGGTAATCGTTATACATTGGTTGTCATGGGTATAAACGTAAATGAAATTTCCACTTATATATATAGAACCCAGTGTATAATTGATTTATATTGATGTAGTGACCGGGGTATAAACGTAGTTTTTATATGCATATGCTTCCGTAAATAAACTATCTCCAAAGGAAGCCACCATTTTTTTTTTTGAATCGGTTTATAATACAAAAAAACTACACTGTAATTGACGACCATAGCTACACAATGATTTCAAATGACTCAAATGATAGTTATGAATCATTTCGAGCCTAACACAAGCCGTTTAATATATGAATAACGCCAAGAGAAAGCCAAACTTCGGCCTTTTAAATTTATAATATGACAGGTCGTTTAATATTTATATGAATAACGCCAAGGAAAAGCCAGACTTCAGCTTTTTAATTTATATCGGACTAAATAAGTTTAGGAACCCGAAATTTGGGTTTACCTTTACGTCACTCATATGTTCAACCATTTTAACCATCAGAATTTGTCTCAATATTGCTTTAAAAAAACCGAAATACTTATTAAATGTCATAAATTTTAACCTTTTTAATATGAAAAATTAAGATTTTTTTTTGATTCTGTTTTAAGGTCAGGGATTTTAACAAGATTATAGTTTTTTCAATTGATTTCTAAATTCGATTTGTAAATTAAAAATCACATGATAAATATAAAATATTACCCACGATCTCGTCATTCAAATTTAACGTTGATTATAAAATATTGCATATATTATGCATAAGCATTACGGAATACATCACAAAATGCGTTAGAACGACTTTACATCACTGCGCTCAGCAAAGTTAAATTACACGTTTTAGGTTAGACATTATCTATAGCAAAACAAGCAGGTAATACTATCGCTATGTATGTGTAAGATAAAAAAAAAGATTATCGAACATTTGAGTGTAACAGTAGTAACAATATTAAAAAGAAATTTTTTAGTTTTAGCCAATCAGATTTTTTCGGATCAGCCAATAAAAACAAACCTCTTTAGCTTTGAATATTAAGTGTCCTCCGCTACACTCCGGATCACATTGTCCGTTAATTTCTAGAAAAAACTTTTCAAGACGAAATTTTTCCTGATTTCTCACAAAAAGAATATCAATCTTGCACCGATACTTGTTAGAGAATGTAAGAATGCATTCAATAATCATCGTGATAGTGATTAAAATGATGAATCAAATATAAATCATACATTGTTTAATTTATTCGATTGATCAAAGGAATTTCAAGTTTTGACTAAATAAAATTTTACATTCATTAAATTTAAACTAATCTGTTAATTGTTTGCGTACAGTGCCTGACTCAGTAGAATTTATATACTAGCTGTCAGCATCATTATTGGAAAACTTGTTAGGACCAAAAAAAATGGTAGAAATTCATAGTGAATCTGAAGAGGTGCTTATCTAAAGAAAAAAAAATAATAAAAATTATAATACAATCATGTGATTCAAATTCAAATCACTTATGATGCTTATTTTTTTAGACAAATTTTAACAACATTCGTCGAAGAAACATTTCTACTCGTAATTCTGAAAGGTTTCATGAGATAGAAACAATCAAATGGGATCAAAATGAAGATTTTAATGCTTATACAAAGAGATTTTACGAGCTTGCTGACGTTGCCGGACTGGATGATGAACCTGAGCAACGTCAAGTAGAATTATTTTTGCAATCTCTTCCACCCAGTATCGTCAATATTATTCAAACACAAATTAAAAATTTTCAAGTTTTTCGTCAAGACTTTCAACCTACTTTAAAGCAAGTAGTTCAGATTGCTACAAACCATGTTGACGAACTTAGAAATAAATCAATCCATGATGACGAACTTAGAAATAAATCAATCCATGATGACGAAATTAGAAATAAATCAATTCATGATGACGAAATTAGAAATAAATCAAATAAATCTTTATCTAAATCACTTTGGTCGTTATATGAAGGTTTTCTCAATTATGAGAAAATAGAGCGCCGTTATATTATCTGGTCAATTTTAATCTTCTTACTAGTGAGTTTGATTTTTTCTCCATATATGCTTTCCGGAAATCCAGAAGACTCTGTTTTTCGAGATTTTGCAAAATCAACCGAAGATATGGTCTCACAAATCAATTCTGCCGATCTCCCAGGTAATTATTCACTCGTAATCTTAATATAAATAGGTTATAAATAGATTAATTATAAATTAAAATTTATATACGTTCTTTTATAGGGTCAAACGAAATAATGAAGCACACTGTAGATTGTAAAATAACAGCAAATTTTATTGAAAGAGATCCAGCTTTTAAAAATTCCGGACCCATAATTGCTACTAAGCTTCGAAAGTTTGGTGAAAGTGTTATGGAAGCAGGAAATGATTTACATGTAATGTATCGTAAAGGATCCTACGTCTTTGAAACATTTAAAATTGAAATCCAAACTATGATGGATAAACTTGATGTTCAAGAACCTAATAAAAGCGACTTCTTTAAAGAAAGAATTAAGAAAATGATTTTAGTGGTTCAAGATTTTAGTGATAAAGTTAAAAGAGCAAAAGATTCTATTATAGATGCAGAGAATAACCGAGATGGACTTGAAAAAGAACTTGTTAGTGGAATTAGGGAAGCAGAAAAGTTTGTGGAAGCAAGTGGTTACTGGAGGCCTGATTCAGTCGATTTGAGGAAAGCCCAAGATGGATTAGCTATAGTTAATAACATTTTAGTTCATCTTAGAAGTGCAGCTTATCGTTTAGATGAAATAATTAAGAATTTAAGAAGATATGAAAATAGTTTATTTGATGTAAATGCTGATTTGGAATCCATTTTTATTGTTACTAAACGTGATTTTAATTATTTGTTAAATTCCGTAGAAGTTTTGCAGCGTAGTCATCGTAAATTTATGGCAAAAGAAAATAATTAAATTTTATTATATAGGGTATATTGTATTTTAAGGTTGTGAAATATTTCAGTATCATGATGAAAAAAAATTTGGTTAATAGATCAATAGTAGCATTAGCACTATCCAATTGAGTTATCGATTTTTTGTGCTACTTTTTGTTAAATAAAATATTTACACTGTTACATGTTCAAAGGCTTATTATTCAACTTTAGTTTTCTCGATGCAAGTTAACACAAGTGAAATTGATTAATATTTGCATAATAGTAGATAATATTAATAAGCTTAAATATCTTTATACAGTACTCATCAAATTAATGTGAAATACTTATCGAAGATGTACTGGGGAGTCGATCGAATAATTGTGATCCGCATGAAACGATAGTCGGTAGCTATTGTTTTAATAACTAGACAAATATGATTAATAAATATAAGATCTTACTTTGAAG